TGAATCCCCAACATCACACTGACTGTTCAAGGTAGTTGATGGCATGTGGTTGTTAGTTGGTAGTTGCCTACTTCTCCTGCTTTTGGTCCAAGAATCCTCAGCGTGCTTTTAAAACACTGAATAGACTGCTCCTCACAGGGCTCCTCAAAATCCTACAAACCCCTTCTTGCGGCCACACAGCTGCTTCTCCTTCTCCCGCTGTGCAGAGCCCAGCGCAGATTGTGCATGTGCGAGATTGGCCACCGCGGGCCGTGTCTGGCAGCAGCGCAGCCAGTGGACCAGGATCAGCCGGCAGCGGGTTTACCATGGTCAGCTTCATGATCATCATGATCCAACCAACCAACCAGCAAAATATCTTTTCTACAACGTGTTCATCGAAAGCAACAGCACAGAAAGTAACGTGGCTGGGATGGCGGTGGGCGTTATTTATCTATTGTCATTCCCTCTGCATTGGCAGGCCCGCTACCCGCACTCTTGCAAGAACAAGCGTCTTGGAGTTGGACAGTGGCGGACAGCAAAAACATGTGGACCATATGGGGGGAACAGGGGAAAATCATCAAGCAAGCCAGCACAAGCCTCTTCAAATGCACCCTGCAGAGCGGCGCAATCAAGCCTGTTGGGCAAGCTGCTTTCACTCATAGAATTTGGTTGAAACATCTCAAACATCAAACTCGACGTATGTGTATACAAGTAGTTCCCGGGCAAGCCGGCGGCGGAAGTTTCCAAAAGAATAAGCCTATAGGAAATGGGCATGTGGCAGGCTGATTCGCCGAGCTGCGATGTTCTTTGACAAACCAAGTTGGAAACGACCAATGGAGCGAAAGCGAAGCAACCACGGTCAACTGTCTCGCAGGAAAAAACGTTGTTCATGCATTTTTGCAACATACAGCATAGAGATGACTCAGCCGCGTAGTAAAGTTGTACAAAGTCGCCAGTTCTCAGCTTCCAGCTCCACGGCTTGCTCCGCGTACCAGAGTTGTACTACAAAGTCGCCAGTTCTCAGCTTCCAGCTCCACAGATACTCCGCGTACTTAAAGTTGCACTACAAAGTCGCCAGTTCTCAGCTTCCAGCTCCCCAGATTGCTCCGCGTACTAAAGTTCTACTACAAAGTCGCCAGTTCTCATCTTCCAGCTCCCCAGATACTCCGCGTACTAAAGTTGTACTACAAAGTCGCCAGTTCTCATCTTCCACCTGCCCACATGCTCCGCGTATAAAAAACTTGCACTACAAAGTCGCCAGTTCTCAGCTTCCAGCTCCACAGATACTCCGCGTACTAAAGTAGTACTGCAAAGTCGCCAGTTCTCAGCTTCCAGCTCCACAGATTGCTCCGCGTACTAAAGTTGTACTACAAAGTCGCCAGTTCTCATCTTCCAGCTCCCCAGATACTCCGCGTACTAAAGTTGTACTATAAAGTCGCCAGTTCTCAGCTTCCAGCTCCCCAGATACTCCGCGTAATAAAGTTGTACTACAAAGTCGCCAGTTCTCAGCTTCCAGCTCCCCAGATACTCCGCGCACTAAAGTTGTACTACAAAGTCGCCAGTTCTCAGCTTCCAGCTCCACAGATTGCTCCGCGTACTAAAGTTGTACTACAAAGTCGCCAGTTCTCATCTTCCAGCTCCCCAGATACTCCGT